GGACTTTTACTTACCTATGTAGCTTTACAATTCTTTCAGGGTTCTGAGATGCCTTCTCTTCTATAAAATCTATTTTGTACCTGAAAAGCAGCACAGAAAAAAAACATTAATTCTAAGTATACAAAAAAGTGTTTAAAGACAAGTCCATATCTCTTCCCCTTCCACCATGGTTTTCACTTAGAGCCTCTTGTTCTATACATACCTTTAATCTGGGACTGGTCCCACCAACTCCACTAAACTCTCTTCACCAAAGTCACAGGTACCTGCTTGGTACGAAACTAATGGACACTTTTCAGTCCTCATCTTCTTAACACCAGTGCTCACCTCTACTTCTCACAGTTTTCTTTCCACGTGCCTCAGTGATCTCCCCTCCTTCTTGCTATTTTCTCTCTCTGCCAGTCTTTCCCTACCTTGTAAGGATTCTATCCTAGACCCTCCTTTCCCTCTAACCATCCTCCCTAGGCTAGCTCCTTGATTTACAAGGTTTAGCTATCACTTATGCAATTTTATCTTCCAGTTATACTTTAATCCACTTCCCCAAGCTGTATATCTAAGACCCTTCTAGACAGCCACCAGGATGCATCACAAACACTCTAAGTCCTCAAATTTCCAAAGTCAACAAATCATATCCCTCTTTTTTCACCCAAACTTATTCTTCTTATCTTAGTATTAACACTACAAGCCACCCATATATCCAAGTGAAAAACCTGTGAGCTTTCCTTGATTCCTCCTTCTCACACCATACCTACATCAAATTCACAACCAAGTCCTGTCAATTCTACAGCCTAAGTGTCTCTCAGATCTACCAAATTCTGTCAGCATCATGAAAGCACATACAGAACTGCATAGTCCAGGTTCAAATCATAACATTACTACTTACTATTAAGAGCTCTTTTTATCCCACAGTAAGTGTGCATATACACGTGAGTACCTATGTACAGGCATGATGAAGTGGCATAGTTGGGAAGCACTAATTTATGCAAAAATATCCAGTGACTGCCATCCCCCTTCAGCCAAAGCTCCTCATGAATTAGAGTGCACCGATTCCCTTGAATACTTGTCCTCCTGACCCACCTCCAAGAGATGCTCTTGTTCCCTGTGAGCCAAAGTTACTAAAGGTTCCCACCTTTCACTCTGAAGCAGAAAGGCCCAATCTCTAATTCACTTGCCATAGTACAATGCTCTTCTTTCCTCTCAAACTCATCCCCAAACCATCCCCTTTCTTCTGCCACTCACTAATCTAAGTTCCCAGGGTCTAAGAACTTAGGTGAGGGGGACAGGGAAATCTCAACCATACACAAAAGAGAAGTCAATAAAGTATACTGTCTAGTAGCATAGCTATGGGACACTTAATCCTAATTAAAATATGCCTTAAATGTAAAATACACAACAGATCCTACAGATCCTACAGATTTAGTATGAAAAGAATATAAAATATTATTACTAGTGTTTAATATTGATCATAAGTTGAAATAATATTTTAGACATATTGGTTAAAATAAATTTATTATCAAAAGTATACCTTTTCTTTTACCTTACTTTAAAATGTAGCTACCATAATATTCACCATTACATA